GGGCCCGACGGTGTTTCCGCTCCTGTCTTGAAGGAATGCGCCAGAGAACTTGGAAAGACGCTATCTCAGCTCTTTGCTTCCACGAAGTTCCACCTGGAAAAGTCTTCCGCGAGCGGCGTCAGATTCGGGTCATAAAGGGTGGGGGAGGGTATATGAGATATATAAGTTTCCGTGAATGGCACGGTAAGTGGAGTTAGCAACACACCAACATCCTTGCCATAAGCAACATTGGTACACTCTTAACATGCATGCACTCCGAATTCCCGCGTTTCCTCACCGGACTGTGCGGAGCATGCACATTACTCCAATTCGCCATGCTGTTGTTTCTTGCTCTTCGCTTTGCTGTGCTGACGGTCAAATTGTTTGACTATCGCGGCCAGTTTCTGATCAATATCCGATCAACCATGTCTCTGTCAGTGAGCGATGTCCACCCAAAACGCTCTTTGCTTTGCTGCCCTGACAGCTCTTCGCTTTGCTGCGCTGACGGTCAAATTGTTTGACTTTCGCGGCCAGTTTCTGATCAATATCCGATCAACCATGTCTCTGTCAGTGAGCGATGTCCAGCCAAAACGCTCTTTGCTTTGCTGCGCTGACGGTCAAATTGTTTGACTCTCGCGGCCAGTTTCTGATCAATATCCGATCAACCATGTCTCTGTCAGTGAGCTATGTCCAGGCAAAACGCTCTTTGCTTTGCTGCGCTAACGCAGTGATGGTCAAATTGTTTGACAATCGCGGCCAGTTTCTGATCAATATCCGATCAACCATGTCTCTGTCAGTGTCAGTGAGCGATGCCCAGCCATAACGCTTCTTTGCTTTGCTGCGTTGACGGTCAAATTGCTTGACGATCGCGCCCAGTTTCTGATCAATATCCGATTAACCATGTCTCTGTCAGTGAGCGATGTCCAGCCAAAATGCGCTCTGCTGAGCTGCGAAACGCACTGCCATCCCGCAATTTAGACCCGGCAGGAACAAAATCTACTCCGCGGATTCGCCTGTTCGAGGTGAAGTTGGCTCCAGACTACTGTACGCGATGACTTGGCCACTCTGGCAGAGGAGCAGAACCTAGCCAGGGCAAGCTACACCCAGGGACTGATCAGTGCCAGCAGCGTTGTTCCAGATCCGGTACTTAGAGCGCATTGCCCACTATGCTAATGGGCAGCCGCATTGGACGGCGCTCGCATCAATTGCTGTAAATAGTAATGCCGATAAATCATGTTTGGGTCATGTTGTATTTTTGGGAGAACAGTAAGTATTGTGATTCAGGCCGGCATTGAGCCAAGTGCGCCTATATTCGCTCACAAGTGCATCCTTAAAGCCATCCCGTAAGGGAGAACAGTAGGGATCGTGGGTCAGGCCGGCATTCAGCCAAGTGCGCGTACATTCGCCCACAAGTGCATCCCTACTGCATGCTCGTGTATTTACACGTCTGAATTCAACAGTAGGGATCTTGGGTCAGGCCGGCATTGAGCCAAGTGCGCCTACCTTCTTCCACAAATGCATCCCTACTGCATGCTCGTGTATTGACACGTCTGAATTCTCGCCGGGCAACTGTTGCCTCAGTTAGTGTCAGCATTGGCCATAATAACACACAGCGGTGCTTGCAATACTAGCTCTGGCATTGGACCGGAATATTGCATTTTGTATGCGGCAATTGTTGCCTATCTCCTGGTAATACAATGCGTAATAGCTCCCAAACAGGTCGGCTTGCTGTGTAAGTAAATAAAAAGTAAATTATCGTATCCGTTCCCGAAGGGAACTCACGACGGCCGCTAACACCCGATAAACCCTAGCGGCAGATGCAGCGCCTAACGGTGGGGGTGAGTGGGTAAGTCTCACAACCACTGGCACAAGTGCCGAAAGCGACCCCATTAGCTGCATCCATGTACCCCTTGTGCCTGGCCACAAGTTCCCAGTTGACTGTGGGTAGCAGCACGGCTGGAAAAACCGCTCCCAGGCAGGACTTGAACCAGGTACCTCTCGTATCTCAATCATGGTCTTTGACCAACCCACTGTGCCTGCCTGGTTCTTGTTGTGTGGTTGGTAACAATAATTAACGAAATGACAAATCCCGAAAACCCATTTGCCGTATCTGAAAAGAGCAGAACTATGCCAAAAACGCCTTTTTACGGTACATGCACAACATGACTTACAGGCCCTGTAATTTGGTTGTGGTTTTGAACAGCCCGGCAGGTAGGTGAACAAGTTGATTACCGTACAAATTTCTGCGACAGCAAAGTAGAATTTTGACAGGATGTATATCACTTCCTGGAAGAATTTCTTATTACTCTATTTTGCGTGCTAGTTTGTAGGTGGAGTGTGTGGGTTACAGTGAGGGCTGCGTGCCACCCGGCTGTGTAGATTCACTCAAAGTGTGAGTTACAAAGTCTGAAGAAAATGTTGAACTGTTTCTGCTGGGATGACCACTACACCATAGCTCAGTGGTTACAGCATTACTGGCTACAACCGAGGGTCCCTGGATCGAGTCCTTGTGGTGTCAGTCAATTTTTTCTTCAGTCTGTTCTCCTTTGTGTCTTACCCTTGAAGTAGTGAACTCTATAAGCAGTAAAACAATGAATTATGATGTTTAGTTCTAGTGGTGAGCCAATTTAATTATGGTAAAAGAGCAGAAGGACAACCTATTACGAGTTATGACTAGGGATTATTATTATTTACACAAAAGACACAAAGGCACACAATGAAAACCTTGGCAAATCAATTCCGTTGAGACTCAGAGTTTCATGGCTGAACCAATCATCAGACAACGATAATGGAATAGGAGGCAGCGCTGGTATATCTAAACGGAGAGAGGTGAGTAATCGCGTGAATGTATACATGGTCAGGCTATTTCAGAGGCAGATGCAGTAGGCGCAGGTCTAGCACTAACAAGCACGCGCTTAATCTCGCTCACACCCCCCCCCCCACACACACACACATACTAACACGCACACACATAGTAACACCCACACACATACACACATACACGCACACACTAACACACACAAATCTCGATTTGTGCGATCGAAGCACGATATTTTACGTCCTGAAACTGGCCGTGTGCCGACCACCGCGTGACATAGCAGATCGACGGATTTGATCGATTTGATCGACAATCAAGATCATGATCAAAATCCAAATGATCAGGTTGATCAGCAACATGATATTTGCTATGCTACCACTGTGATGTATGATGGAATGCTGCTTGAGTGAAACCATGAAGAGGCACGATGCCCTGCACTTCATGATTTGGGATCTAGCTGCAACCTGTTTTCCAGGAATATCATTTGAAATTTCGACCACGTAGCATACTGACCAACCACAAAAATCTCAATCCCTTGACAATACAAGCAGAATCCCTGGATTTTTCGCAAAATCCCTGGATGGCACAAAACAAGTGAAAAGGGATTTTCCCGCCAAAAAAAGTTCAACTCTGCAGATCTGCGTACGGCACAGTTCAACCCTGCACTGCAGTTCGATCAGTCGGCGCGTCGGCGCCCACCTATAGCGCCTGTCAGTGCAGATCTTGTGGTCAGGTCTTGAAAGTGCCGTTAACAGTTCGAAGTGCAAGTGCGCACCGTACATATTTTTGAAAAAACCGGGACATTCAAAGCAAATCCATGGAGTTTTCAGAAAAATCCTGTATCAGACGAAACTGTGACTTTTCCGGTATTTTCCTTCAAATCCCCAGGACCCCGGGAGTAGTGTTAATTCCCGGAATTTTCCAAGGAAAACCGGGAGGGTTGGCCAGTATGACAGGTATGACAGGTTCGAGCACTTGCTTTTCAGGTACAACCCGGAGAGATCGACTTGTTGGATACGGAAATGCATCCACAGCTATTTCGTGTATCTGGTAAGTTGGTCGTGTGTTTCGTGCATTTTTTAGGTTGCCAACAGTAATTTTGTGTTTCACGCATGGATGACATCTGTTGCCGGAGCGACATAGCCCGACAAAGAGAATAAAGTTGATTCCTATCGACATAATGTCCCTATTCCCACCTGATCTATATTACTGCAACCAGATAACGTGATGAGCTCAACACAATAATCATTATTGGGGTTTTGAGCATAGTCAAGCCGAGTCCTAGACTTCGCTGATGCCGCACTGGAGACTGTCTCGCAGTCTCTCTGGACACTCATTGAACCGGAGCAGTGCAGTATCATTAGCAAATAAGGACACACCTTCAACATGACTGGGAAGATCATTAATATACACTAGGAAAAGGAGGGGCCCTAGGATGGATCCCTGCGGCACTCCGGACAGAACAGGTGAGGCATCTGAGAGAAGTCCACCTACAAAGACAACTTGCGTTCTGTCGGATAGGTAGTCTGTAATCCACTCTAGCGCTGCGCCACACACACCGAAAACTTTGGAAAGTTTAGCAAGTAATGCACGGTGCCACACGGTGTCAAAAGCTTTCTCGAGGTCGAAAAAGCATAATGGCAACTTTCCGCCCCATATGACGATGGTCGGCAATGTTTTGGATCAGCTTGGTGAGCTATAGAGCGGTCGAATCACCACGACGAAACTCAGATTGCGCGGGATCAAGAGCAGGAGAAATAGGATCATATAGTTGATTGAAGAAGAGCCATTCGCAAAATTTGGAAATACAGGACAGGAGGGAAATTGGGCGATAGTTACTCCCTTGGGATTTGCTGCCTTTGCACTTGTAAATAGGCAAACATTTAGCCAGTTTCCATTCGGTAGGAAACTTGCCTGTGGTAAAGGAGAGGTTAAATAGGTGGCTAAGTGGAAAAGAAATCGCAGGAGCTAGTTTCTTTCTTGAAGGAATGCACAATGGAACTTGTAAAGACACTATCTCAGCTCTTTGCTTCCAACACGGAGTTCTACCTGGAAAAGTCTTCCACGAGCGGCGTCAGATTCGGGTCATAAAGGGTACATGAGATCATTCAACGAGATGCAATATCCCGAAATCCCATTTGCCACATCTCAAAAGAACTTGGACAAAAAGGCCTTTTTACGGTACATTCACAATGTGACTTACAGTTCGTTTAATTTGGTTGTGGCTTTGAACAGCCCGGCAGGTAGGTGAACAAGTTGATTTTCGTCCAAACCTCTGGGAGAACAAAGTAGAATTTGGATAGGATGTATGATCCTGAAAGAATATTGCGTGCTAGTTTGTAGGTGGAGTGTGTGGATTACAGTGAGGGCTGCGTCCCACCCACCTGTATAGATTCACACAAAGTGTGAGTTACGAAGTCTGAAGAAAATGTTGAACAGTTTCTGCTGGGATGACCACTACACCATAGCTCAGTGGTTACAGCATCGCTGGCTACAAGCGAGGGTCCCTGGTTCGAGTCTTGGTGGAGTCAGGCAATTTGTTCTTCAGACTTCTCCTGCTGCCATTGCCGTCGTTGCTGATCTTGTCATTCTTCTAGTTGATGCGCTTCCTGTCACTGCCATGCCAGTAAGTGTCTTGTCCGGTTGTTTTTCCGGTGGTCTAGTTAATTGTGAGGCGACGTTGCTTTGTGTTGATGCCGCTGCGTTAGATCATCTTGTACCAGGATGATTCTTTGCTGGACGTCTCCTGTTGTCGGATGCGTGCGTCCAGGTGTTGACAACATTTGGCAACGATGGTGATGGCTGTCTAAGCACTGACATCAACGCCAAGCAACAGCAAAGATCGGCACAGACGGCGATGGCAGCGTCTAAAGCACTGACAGCGGCAATGGCTAGGGTCCACACGACTAGCCATTTGGTATCGGTTGTGTCCACCGCACATGCTGATTATTCTGATGTATGAGTCGTCCATCGTCATTTGTTAGAGCATCCTGATTGTTGCGCTGTGTATTCAGATGATTTTGTTCGATTGAGTCATGTGTACGCAGTGCTAGATTGTTTTGATGCCGTATACATCCACACAAAGAAACCCAACCTTTGCAAGCAAGCATAAGCAAATTAAATTCACACTTAGGCTGTTAGGTAGGTTGTCAAAACCTCGTTAGTTATGTCCAGTGATTATCTCTTGTTGTCGCACTAAATGTCACGCTTATTGAGTTATTGAAACTTCTTCGCGAAGGGGGAGCTGGTTTAGAGACCAGTCGTGACATATTCGTGTCTCACGAGTTCGGATGGGTCTACTCGTCATGAACGCTACGAGTGGGTTTTGAGCTATTTCTCATTTTTCGAAAATATCTCACCCATTCTTGTTGGAATAAAGCCAAAACCGTCGCAGTGCACACACCTCCACGCATTCCGGCAGCAAAGGCAGCAGCACGGGCAGCACAGAGCGGAACAGCGGAGCTGAAACTGACTCTCACCGTACCGATTCGGCACGAAAAGCGGCCCAGAGTTTGACCCACGCCAGCGCCGTATCCGAAACCGCCTCCGACGGTGCCAACACCACTCGGAAAGCGGACCTGCTCTCCAGCTCGCACCAAATGACCCAGTCAACGACCAGTACGAGCCCGACATTATATCGCCCATGTCGGCAACCAGCACGACTGTGCACCCGGAAACGCCGCCAGGCCGCACAGGTACAGGTACGACAACATCCAACCTCACTGCACACCGACACAACCACTCCTACCACCACAACATGCAATCACCCAGATTCGGCGCGTGATGAATATCTCCTATCCTCACTGGTGTCTAACACAGACATGTCTAAACATCCAGCAAACCCCTGGATTACCTCCGAACAATGCAGGAGAACCAGTCCCAGTGCGGAATCCTCACCTGATTTTTAAAATTTCAAAAAAAACAAAAAGAGAGCAACAACATCGACCCTGGCCACAGCCAACCCCTTGCCCCAGCACAGGGCTCACGCCTCAGCAAACTGGTATGACATGATACTCAATCCTAGCCTACAGTGACGTTGTTCTCCACACCTTTTAGGTATTTCATTAGATTTTTAGGAGATTTAGCCATACATGTAGCCATGCAACCGCTTATGCCAAATTCCACTCCCCTTTTTAATTACCTCCTCCTGCAATGAAGGGTCGCAAGCATCTTCGTATTATCTGCACAAACGCTTTCGGCCTAGCCAGCAAACCTCCCGACCTACAGCACGCACTCCTGCAGCATCAGCCCCACGTCGCAATTGTGACAGAGACGAAGTTCACTGCGGAGAAAGTGCTTCCCTCTGGCATCAGTTTCCCTGGATACAGCTCGCCATTTTGGTTGGACAGAACGGCACACGGGGAGGGGTAGCCATCTGGGTGAAGTCGTCACTCCCCTCCATGCTCAACACTGAACTCATGTCCCCCGCACATGAGATCATCTGGTTTTCTCTCCAGCTGGGGCGAGGTCTCCGCACCGTCTTGGGAGCAGTGTTTCGGCCGGAGTCCTGTGCCCCTGGCGATCTCACCCTAATTGACCATCCCGACACCATCCTCCCAGAAGCTAGACAGCAGGGCCCCCACATTATCCTAGCTGGCGATTTCAACGTGCACAGCCAGGCTTGGTTGAACAGCTCGAAAACTACGCCTGCAGGCGAGGCTCTCGAAGATACCTGCTGCCCATCTTCTTTTAAGGGGGCAGCCTACCCATAAATTTCATATGGCATTCAATTGACCGTAACTTTGGTGTTTCTCAATGGATTTGAGTGAAATTTTGACCACACACTCCTGCTGGCCCTCAGGACATGATTTACAAGTTCTTGCACCTCACTGACAGGCTTTCCAGGCCGGAAAAACTCAAATTTCCGGCATAGTGCCACGGTGTGCGAGCCACCCAGGAGCCAAACAAATGCATTTACAAATTTTTCACATTTTCGTGCTCATTCTGTTCGTGCGCGGGACTCAAACCTAGAACAAGTCCAGAAGCAGCCATGGGTGATGGGGTAGGGCCCCTCAACGAGGTCTGGAATCTGTCACAACGGAACGAGTGGGCGTTCTCTCACACACTCCCACAGACCCAAGTCAATTTTTGAATCTTTTTAGGTTTAGCACGTGCTACAAGGTCGTACCTTTGATACAACATCCAGTGCTGGGACCTCCACAGCAAGCCATTTCCACAGCGCTGCACACCAAATCCAGGATACCCTCAGAAACCGGCAAAGACTACCACTCATGTTTCACTACTGCCTAGCACTGAATCCTACCTGACTTCTTGACACGACTCAAACTTGCCAAAGTCACTAAATCAACGTCAACTACAATAATCAAGCCACATATCTGCAACGTCACGAGGGTGCTGGCAAAGGTCCTGCTGCACGGCGGCGGGCTTCGCCCGCCGCCGTGCACCCCAATACGTGGCTCAAAAACCTGATTTTTTGGACTTGGAGCAAAATTCTGCACACTTTCACGTGTTTCCATGATACGACAAGTTGCGCACGGTCTGCTCACATTCAAGTACAGCGCAGCCAACAAACAGCGTGCAACAAAAAAATCTTTCCTTGCAAGGGCACATTTTCGGCCATAACTCTTGAACGGCCAGTCAGATCGGGACACAATTTTCAAAGAATTTGCAGCTATTCATGCTCTTTCAACTGACGTAGCACTCAATATGAATTTACAAATTCGATTTTTCAGCGAATTTTTGGGTAGTCTGCCACCTTAAGCATGTCACCCGTGGAGACAACCCGCTAGACCTCACAATGTCAACATTCACGTCCCCAGTAACTACACGTACACTTCCACCCCTCGGTCGATCTGACCATGCAGTTGTACTCTCAGACTTTTCTGATCTGCTCCATAGACGTGAACCCCCCAGTGTTTTGCTACAACAGGGCAGACTGGGATCGTTTCAGGGCGCACCTTAGCAACGTGGAATGGGGTGATATCATCACGGAGGAAATTTCCTGTAAGCAAGTTACCGCTTCGATAACTGCAGCTGTTGCATAATTTGTCCCATCCAAAGTTCTGGAAACGAGGCCTTCCGATCCGGTATGGTGGATGCCTGAATTCACCCAGACCCAGAGGAAGAAGAGAACACCCTTATGACTCAGCACTTAAGCAGGCATTAACCAATTCCGTGACTGTAACGATCGCCACTCAGTTCCGATCATGACGTGCAAAGGAGGACAGCCTCTGTCGCGGCCTCTCATCTGGGTCCCTCAGAGACAAACAGTGGTGGACGAAGTTGAAGAACGCCGCTGGCAACTGCACACAGCTCGAAATTCTCCTAATTGTCAACTCTGACGGCCGTCAGTGGGCAACGAGCTCAGGGAAAGCCAGGCATTTGCTCGCTTCTTTTCAAAGAAATGTAGCGTTGCCGGTCCGGACCTTGTGGAGGCTGAGCTACTGGACCCTGCTCCCTCAGATCCTCCACCTCTTCGCACCATCCGCTTCCGCCCAGAGGCTGTGCGCCGCCTCCTGGCAAAGCTCGACGTCACCAAGGCTACAGGGCTTGACAGTATTTCTGCTTGCGTCCTTAAGGAATGTGCTCGCGAGCTTTCAGAGCCACTGTCCAAGTATTTGCCTTATGCTTCCGGTCTGGAGTCCAACCTAGGATGTGGAAGACGGCCAACGTGGTTCTGATCCACAAGCGACCTTCCCGCTCAACTACAGGCCCATATCCTTACTGTGCATAATCTCGAAAATCATGGAAACTCTAGTAAACAGACACATCGTAAACTATTTTGAGGACCACCATCTGCTCACGTCGCACCAGTTTAGATTTCGCGGAGGCCTCGGAACATAAGACACCTTGCAAGCTCTCCAAACTGCCTGGGCAAGCGCTGTGGGCTGTGGAGGGCGGCGAATATCCTTGCTGTGGACATCACAGGAGCGTTTGATCGTGTCTCACATGTCGGCCTCCTTCACAAGGTGCGTAGCCTGGCCTCTTCCCTCGACACCCGTTCCTTACAGTGCCTCTTTGGAGGCGTACGTCATATACGTACACGACCACCGCTGGTGTCCCCGAGGGAAGCATTCTTGGACCAACACTTTTCCAGGCGTACGTCAACGACACGCCAGATGTTCTTGCTGACGTCGACAGCCACAGCAGCCCCTGGGGCATGAAATCGCGGCCAGTTTCTGATCAATATCCGCTCAACCATGTCTCTGCCAGTGAGCGATGTCCAGCCAAAAACGCTATTTGCTTTGCTGTGCTGACGGTCATATTGTTTGACTATCGCGGCCAATGTCCGATCAACCGTGGCTCTGTCAGTGAGCGATGTCCAGCCAAAATGCTCTTTGCTTTTCTGCGCTGACGGTCAAATTGTTTGACTCTCGCGTCCAGTTTCTGATCAATATCCGATCAACCATGTCTCTGTCAGTGAGTGATGTCCAGCCAAAACGCTCTTTGCTTTGGTGCGCTGATGCAATGACGGTCAAATTGTTTGACAATCGTGGCCAGTTTCTGATCAATATCCGATCAACCATGTCTCTGTCAGTGAGCGATGTCCAGCCAAAACGCTCTTTGCTTTGCTGCGCTGACGGTCAAATTGTTTGACAATCGTGGCCAGTTTCTGATCTATATCCGATCAACCATGTCTCTGTCACTGAGCGATGTCCAGCCAAAATGCGCTCTGCTGAGCTGCGAAACGCACTGGCATCCCGCAATTTAGACCCGGCAGGAACAAAAACTACTCAGCGGATTCGCCTGTTCGAGTTGAAGTTGGCTTCAGACTACTGTACGCGATGACTTGGCCACTCTGGCAGAGGAGCAGAACCTAGCCAGGGCAAGCTACACCCAGGGACTGATCAGTGCCAGCAGCGTTGTTCCAGATCCGGTACTTAGAGCGCATTGCCCACTACGCTAATGGGCAGCCGCATTGGACGGCGCTCGCATCTATTGCTGTAAATAGTTATGCCGATAAATCATGTTTGGGTCATGTTGTATTTTTGGGAGAACAGTAAGGATCGTGACTCAGGCCGGCATTGAGCCAAGTGCGCCTATATTCGCTCACAAGTGCATCCTTTAAGCCATCCCGTAAGGGAGAACAGTAGGGATCGTGGGTCAGGCCGGCATTCAGCCAAGTGCGCGTACATTCGCCCACAAGTGCATCCCTACTGCATGCTCATGTATTGACACGTCTGAATTCAACAGTAGGGATCGTGGGTCAGGCTGGCATTGAGCCAAGTGCGCCTACATTCTCCCACAAGTGCATCCCTACTGCATGCTCGTGTATTGACACGTCTGAATTCTCGCCGGGCAACTGTTGCCTCAGTTAGTGTCAGCATTGGCCATAATAACACACAGCGGTGCTTGCAATACTAGCTCTGGCATTGGACCAGAATATTGCATTTTGTATGCGGCAATTGTTGCCTATCTCCTGGTAATACAACGCCTAATAGCTCCCAAACAGGTCGGCTTCTTGTGTGGTTGGTAACAAGAATTAACGAAATGCCAAATCCCGAAAACGCATTTGCCGTATCTGAAAAGAACAGAACTATGCCAAAAACGCCTTTTTACGGTACATGCACAACATGACTTACAGTTTTTGTAATTTGGTTGTGGCTTTGAACAGCCCGGCAGGTAGGTGAACAAGAGGAGTAATTGCGTGAATGTATACATGGTCAGGCTATTTCAGAGGCAGATGCAGTAGGCGCAGGTCTAGCACTAACACGCACTCGCTTAATCTCGCTCACATACCACACCCACACACCCACACACCCACACACCCACACACCCACACACCCACACACACACACATACTAACACGCACACACATAGTAACACCCACACACATACACACATGCACGCACACACTAACACACACAAATCTCGATTTGTGCGATCGTGACAGTACTTTTCGCTGCTGTTATTTCGCTAATCTCTCTCTGGTTTTGTAGACCTGAATGATGTCAAAATTCCATGGCTACCTGCAGTGGCCATGTTCTACCTTAGCAGACGGATGGTCATTCATAGCTGTCTACATACAACTGTATCTGATACGAGGCTGCTCTTGGTTCTGCACGGGTTTCGGTTAGTGTTAAAACGATCTCCCCGGGTACTCGTTAGCTCGCTCGCCAGAAACTCGGCTCGTTTCTGCGGCCAGCTCGTTTGCACTAACGAACAAGGTACACCGTACTCCGTACACATGGTAGTATATGTCGACCGGGGAGTCGTAAAATATTTTATGATTTCCTGGTCGATAGAGAGTCCAGTCTCGTGCAACGTGAAAATCAATCGCAGTTACAGTGTCTGTATGCCTGCACGACACTTGAGTTGTTTGTGTTGTCATTGCAGCTTTGGGGGACTCTACTGATGTCTTGTTCCGCATCTGAGTGAAAGTTCACGCTCAGTTGTTTGGAAGTTTTCTCCCGCGATGCAGCGAAGACCCGGGCTACTTGCAATCTTTGCAAAACGGTCTATTCTTACAAAGGCTACTTAACCACGGCGCCGAAAAGACATCTCGACACCAAACAGCAGTCCAAAGTGGGGAGCAGCAACCCCAATTATGCCAGTGGTGATAATTTGCGGTGATAATTTGAACCAGCTGAAAAAATCGAACTTTGAAAAATATATATTCAAAAGTTCATATTTGCCACATCAATGAAACTCGTTAGCTCGCTCGATAGCTTGCTCGTTAGTGGAACTGATCGTTCGTTTTTATAGATATGCTCGTTTCAACACTAGTTTCGGTACAGGGTGGATGAAGAACCACATTTTCGCTTACGTTGGTTGCGACCATCTCGTGAGCGGCATCAGGTATCGGTCATAAAGGGGAGAAGAAAGGTAACTAAGGTCAACCAACGAGATGCCACTGGGCACTGGCGGATAATCATCGAAAAGGTGGCAGATTCTGCTCGAAAAGCAGTGAAATTGGCAGAACGATACAAACCTTATGGCGGGCAATTTGTCGAATTTTGCTCTAATTCTTTATCCACATACTAAACATGCATGAAATTTACAAGAAAAAGTACCGAATTCTGCCAATTTTTGATGGCATTATCCGCATATGCCTAGATGCTACATCCCGAAATCCCATTCGCCACATCTTAAAAGAACAGAACTACGCCAAAAAAACGCCTTTTTACGATACATGCACAACATGACTTACAGGTATCTCAATTCGGTTGTCGCGTCAAACAGCCCGGCAGGTAGGTCAACAAGTGTATTATTCCACAAATATCTGAGAGAACAAAGTAGATTTTTGACAGGATGTATACCACTTCCTGGAAGAATTTCTTAATACTCTTTATACCATGCTTTACACATTTACCGCATATCAAAATAACAGAACTACGCAAAAAATCTCTTTTCCGATATATGCACCCCATGACTTGGATAAGATGTACATTGTGTAGTATCCCTGCCTTGCTTGTAGCGTATCCTCGTACGTAAGCGTATCCCTATACGTTAGTGTATGTTGTCTGTTGCCTGTAAAAGCTGCTAGCCATTTTTGTTTTCATGAGATTTGATAATGACAACAAAGCCGAACAGAAGAGCTGTTAAACCTCCAGGTGTGTACCGGAGAAAGTTCCTTTTATTTCCCGTTTTTTTTTTTCAAAGAGAATTGGTGAGCACACATGCTCATTCCCTGGGCACTGCAAATTCACAACTCGTTTTCATTTCTCAGAATCATTTTCAACGTTTTTGGCAAATTGCCCTCAGCAGGATGCCATATGAAGTGGAAGTCTGCAAAGGAGAAATTATATACATCAATTTGGTGTTCTTAGGTGTTAATATTTCTATGACTACACATGTTACCTCAGTGCTGTGAATATGACATGTCTAAAACTAGTGAAAGAACACAAGCTTTCACTGACTTCTATGCTGTGTGTTGGTAGTAAGTAATTATTAGTTAGCACAGCGCAGATGTCACCAGATAACTTGAGAAATGTCTGAACAGGTTTCTCGCGAGCAATACACGAAAGTGACCATGTCAGTGTTTTCCAGAAAATACTGTCACCTTTAGTTGCGCTCGGTGAAATCCGGCCCGAAGTGCAAAGCCGGCGCCGCGAATTGGCGCGAAGCTAGCTCCCATTACATCACTGGCGATTTGTGTGTATGAACTCAACGGTACGCATAAAAGTTCGGAGTGCACGTGTTGCGTACTAAAAACAGTTCAAAATTTCTTTCATTCACTTCACTCAAGCACAGCAGGATCTTCTCGATAGCAGAGTACCCAACATCCTGTTTCAACCTCCCTCTTCGCCGGACATTGGTTGGTTAGTTGGATTTATTTGAAGTCGAACAACAAACAGGCATGTCTGCCTCCTTATATGAAGACCACTTCTGGCAATAAAACATTTTAAAGAAAAGAGAAAGGAAAAAAGAAGAAGATAAGATCAAGAATGTATAGACTGAGCATACAGCTAGCCGGAGACTGAGCATACAGCTAGCCTCGGTATGTATCAGAGCATCAGGATTACTACATACTAGTACTCAAGACAGGGGAGGGGGTTGCTGTCATGCTACAGTAAGACAATACGCGTGCAACACACCCTTGAACTGGAGGGGGGACGTGATGTTTCTCGCATCAGGTGGAAGACTGTTCCAAACGCGTGCAGCAGAAAGAGACACGGGATGAGTTCTGGATGGAAGCTGCAGCAGATGTTGTTGGGAGCCGAGCGTTTGGCCAGCCCTAGTCGGAGTGTCGAAATCTCCAAATAATGCGCTGATCAGCGGCTGCTCCATGGTGGAATGTAGGCACCGGTACCGGTAGACCAGCGGTCACACTGTCTCACGCAAGAGCCGGTGTACACGAAGCAGGTTGTCATACGGGTACGGGAGGTCAAGTTGTACACGACATGAATCCAATCGAGAATGTGTGGGCTCTCCTCAAGATTTGACAAGAAGAGAATAATTCCACATCGCTGCGAGAATGCTGACCAGCTGGTGCAGGCACTGCACCTGGAGTGGGACTTGTTGGCTCCTGACACGTTTTCCCCATACGTGGAGTCAATGTCACGTCGTGTTGAAGCCCTAATCGAAGCAGACGGTGGCCACACAAAATATTGAAGCCCTGCTGTTCTGTGTATGAAATAAACCGCTTCGAAACGATCTCCGTCTTCTTTACTTGTCCTGAACTGAAATGAATGTTGCACTTGTCTTTGTTTGGGGCGGTTTTTACACTTTGGTGTAAGCATGCATGCGTATGAGTACAGCACATGCACAGTGCATACGGCACATGCGCAACTGTAGATAACCAGTGTGGTGTGACTGTTTTAGAGTAATGACCATTCAGCACTGGTGTTGATCTCTGGGCCTTCGTTTCTGATCTCCACTGCCTCCCACAATATGCGGCTTGCCCTCTCACTGGACCTTGCAATCACAGACACTGCTGAGAAGATGCTGTCCCCGACACTCAGGTTGATCCCTGCATGCTTAGCTCACATGTGGTCACCCAATGGCTTCTCCACAGTCCACCTACGAGCTTCAACATTGTGTTCCTTCAGTCTCGTCTCCAGTGTGTGACCCGTCTCTCCAATGTATTTTACCCTGCACAACTTGCATTGCAGACAGTATATCACATGCTTCCTCAAATGATGAGGCTCTTTGGATAGTAGTTGAGTTGAAGTTGGTCTTTTCTGTTCACTTTCTTCACACATGGTGTCATTGGAAGACAGACGTTGTCCTCTTAAGAATTGAGACTTGGCAACGGCAAGTTTGATGTGATGGGGCACAGCAGATGCGTAGTCTATCAGCAATCCACTATTGCATGGCTTTTGACAGAGCTTGTACGTCATCTGGCCCGACTGTTGTATGGCAATCGTCACGTCCATGTAATCAATCCAGCCTTTGCTACTGCTGAGCTCGTAGGTGAACTTGAGTCGGTCGTGTCCTGCATTGAAGTGCTGTATTAGCACCAAGAGGCGTTTCTCACCGTGGGTCCAGAGAATGATCACATCATCAATGTACCGTTTGTACAGCACAGGCAGAACCGGTGACTCAGCCAGAAGGTGCGTTTCCAGAGAGTGCATGAACAATATTGCGAATGGTGGTGCTAGATTATTGCTCGGTCCAAGCTCCAGAATCCGCCTGGTGCTGTCCGGCACACAATCATCCACAACCAATGCCCGCTGGACACTGGATCCATCACATGTCGCCGCACTACTGGTCCGAGCGCCAAGCTGGGCTAGTGATGCGGCTTGCGTAATTTCATGCTCTTGCTTGCCAGCTTCTGCACGAAGCTTGCCAAGCTTCCGGGCTAGCCTTGCATTTGTATCGATGCGCTCCTTTGTGGCTACGCAACGCTTCATGGTACGGATCCTTATGTAACTCTACCGAGCGAATGACCAGAGCTTGTCCCGAAAGTGCGTGCTCTGTCTCAAGCGAAAGTCCTTCTCTGCACACTTGTCCTCTAAGGCGTCGCTCAGAAGACGAAGGCAGTGCTGGTGTCTTTTTCTTTGGCGGACTTGCTTGTGCCTGGAAGACCTTGGCTGTCAGGTACCCTGGGTTATAAATCGTGGAATAAAGTGTTCCCTCCGGCATTGTAGCAGAAATGACCACTGACACTCGCTCCTTTGCAACTTGTATGCCCATTGCACATAGCGCCACGGTGACGCGCTCCAGGAAGAGGAGAACCACGAACGAACGCTTCTTTTATTAACCTAACAATCCAGGTGTGTACCTGAAGATCGATTAAAAGTAAATTCGCGCACTCGTCTACCACTACATTGGTGGCAGCGGTGCGTGAACTCGTACCTTGACTATTTATGGAACGTCAGTCTCGTTGTTAGTACCCACTACATAGGTGGCTGTTGTCTACCTAGTCAGTCATCAAGTTATTGCTCAACCTGCTGCTGCTCCCACAGCTGCTGCACCTGCCGTCGCTGCTCCTGCTCCTACATTGTACGTGAAGTGTGTGTGTTACAGTGAGGTCTGCATCCCACCCACCGGTGTAGATTAACACAAAGTGTGAGGAACGAAGTCTGAAGAAAATGTTGAACAGACTCTGCTGGGATGACGACTACACCATAGCTCACTGGTGACAGCATCGCTGGCTACAAGCGAGGATCCATGGTTCGAGTCCTGGTGGTGACAGTCAATTTTTTCTTCAGACTGTCCCCGTTTGTGTCTTTTCCTCAAATAAGTGAACTTTGTATACTTGCTCCGCTAAGCAAAACTTCATTTTTAGTGTTTTTAGTGTTCTTGTCATGATAGTCTTGTCATGATTTTATTTTATTTGCAGTAGCTGGGAAGCTGGGCTAGTATCTGCTGTGACCACCATTATTAGCGATGACTTCCTGCAGACGGTTTGGCATGGATGTTGCTAAACTCGCCACATCGGCAGATCGGAGCCTTGTGTAGCTTATCTGCAGTTTACCAGTTGCGTGCCGCCAGTCATCGTTTCAGCAAGCTCCAAATGTTCTCGATCGGGTTTAGGTCTGGTGAACGAGCAGGTTGAAACGCAATGATCGGCATGCCGTTGTCGAGGATGTGCTTCTGCGCGTGACAGAGACACAGCGCCGAGGACGTGCACCTTCGCCGGATGCTGTGACTGCTCAAGAACAGGCACAGAATCGCGAGGAAACCAGAACATGATTTGGGCAGGCAGCGAAGCAAGCTTCGTTGGCGGATACTGTCTGATCGAAGGCATGGTCTTGGTGGACGATTGCCCACACAAGACGGTGGAGCCAGTGTGCCTCTGTGAGGACGACTTTCTTATGCGGAAGCCAATGCGATGGGTTTCTGATAGGCGCCGTCTCACCTGCCTAGCACCTACTGATTCGCCTGCTGGACCGACATCAGCCAAGTCGGCTGCTGCTTTCTCGCTGCTGGAATAGCGGTTGTTTTCAACAAAATGCTGTATGTGCTGAAGTCCGTCAGGTCCTAGTGTGGGCTAAGCGCCACTTCCTGCTTTCGTCTTCACTGTAACACCAGCCTCAACCTTCTCTTTCTACTCGTATCTCCATTGCTTTGATGTTTTGCTCGCTTACCGGGGTTTTCTTATAGCCGGTCAAGTCATGAACGTGCCTGCTTCCTAACCCAGGTCGGTAGAGCGCATCTATGTGCTCTCTTCTGCACAGTTCTTTTCCAGGGAAATACTGGTGGTTGGGGACGTTCCTCATCTTTCTCAGATTACACCACGAATGCTTCTTTGCATATCTCTCGTTGCAATGGTTAACACGTGGCGGTGAAGTGTGGGGGGGGGGGGGATTCCGCAAAGGTTAGCCATTGGCGAGT